GGGATAAAGTGTGCGTTACTGGTACAGTACAGAGGGAGAGGAGGTATTCCTAATACTCCAAAAATGCATTACACAATTTATAGACAGCCCTTATGGACGAAAGAAAGGTCAATTGTAAAGGTGTAATACTATCAGGAGACAGGGAAGGTCAATAAAATAAACAAGCTATCTCAACACATACAATTCTCAACCAAGTCAGAGAATAAGTTAATAGGTGTTGAAATGTACTTGGCAAATTGGGAGTAGGTATGGGCCAGGGACTTGGTTAAATTCTAACAAATGCCTCCTCTTAAGCATATGCCGAGATAATGTCTGAAAAACTGTTAATTCAGTGGTAATTAACAGCACTGCTATGTGGCAATTTAACTATCAGGAATGAGCATCTAACTCTAAATAAGCTCTAATAACCTACAGTGAAGATGCAATATCCTGCAGAAACATTTTCACTTCTAAAGAACAATCAACTTGCTACAATAAAAGTAAAGTCTATTCTACCTGTTTGTACAATCATTGTCCTGATGTCAACATACCTCATTTTCTTGAAGAAGCTGCTCCATGTTTTTCTTTATTTCTACATTACATGCTTCAGTTGCCAATAACTGTTGGCGAACAAGAGCCAACTGAGATTTCAAATCTTCAGCAACAGCAGACTGTGACCGAACAATTACTATGTCACCACTATCAACCACCAACAGTTCCTCAGCAGTAGCACGCCTGAATTCAAATGGCACAGAAGCTCCCCAAACTTCATTCTCTGAGATATAACACAGTTGATAAATTTCGCCTTCTTCTTTGGGCAAATCACTAGCTGCAAGACATGACAAACGCGGCATCTTCAAACTTTGGTATAAATAATAAAAGTCGTACATTACATCTTCAGGGCCTGGATAATTATGTACTTACACTAACTTATATACATGTACATGAATTATAAAATACAGAAATTTGTAATAAAAAATCTATAACAAAATAATCAATCATCAATTTTGTTAATCGCTAAAACTAAAATATTTTTCTTTAATAAAAAAGGTACACATGCACATCAAAATAAAATTTAATACTAAAATACTCCATTATTTTTTAAAAAGTGATTTCCAAAACAACGACAAAACAAATTTGTGTTACAAATTCTCAGAAATAAGACCATTCCTAAACCTTTTACTTTTCAATGCTAATGAAAGCTGTAGCTTCAGAATCAAACTGATGAACTTGTTTAACAAAAACGAACTTTCACATACAGTAGCCTACATCAATCCATCTCCCATATTTCTTTAATGTAGGCTGAGCAGGAAAAAGCATTTCAGAAAAAATTTCAGGATAACCGCGCCTTCATTCTGAACTTGGAGCAATGTGCCTTAATTCCTGTGAATTCTGGTGAAGGGTATTAAATAAAAGATTGACCACTGAAGAAAGTGAAGAGGTGAAAGAATATCAAATGTCAACAAATTGGGCTGGCCTGTAAAGAAGAAAGACAAGCTTGATGCTATGGATTTCATTCACACAATGCCCTTGCAGTCCCATGTGTATTCATCAGAATACTGATCTAGTATACTGCAATGTGAGATATATCATCTTGAGGGTAAAACGTAATTCTTCCATGGAGGTGGCAGAAAAAGATTCATACTTGGCAATACTAAATGTTTTTTTGGAGAATTTCACATCAAATCAAGCAGCACAAAAATGCAAATACACAAGAAAACATGCAAAAATATGTAATTATTGGTAAAATATGTAAATATATATTAAGCTAGGGATAAATACATGTTGTCAAATTTTTAAGCATTATTTGTATGAAACATCAACATGTTTGATAACTACAGAAAACCTGTAATTACATAATTATCCAGCCTCTATTCTTCTTTATCATTATCATAAAAAATGAATATTGCAATACTAAGTGAGCAAAGTTTAACTTTGCAAAATTCAATAAAAATTAATATCAACACCTTAAACTTATTCGCTGATTAATGGATTCAATCTTTGATTTGTGTGTTCATATTTACAATGAAAAAATTAATTACAGAAAAATTTACCTGACAGATTTTTATGAGAATGTGAGAATATCTATAAGAAGTAATAAAATGAAGGCTACATTCAGTGCTTGATTTGTACAATTTTAGGTCACGGAACACACCCCAAATTAATTATTAATTTAATAGAAATAATGATATATTTATAACATAATTTATTAATTATTACCGAGGTACCGGAACACCATTCTGTCATGTTCTGCTAGAAATCAAGCTATGGCTACACTACTAGTAAACCAATGAAGACTTTTTGTGACCAATGTAAACAGACTTAATATTTAGAAAGAGACCTAATATTTAGAAAGAGAACACACATTTACAAACTAAAACCGGCACAATCTAATCTCAATCTAAATACTCCATTCTGGTTCCCCCAAAAATAATAATACTAATAATACTAATACGAATAATAATACTAATACTAATACTAATAATAATAATAATAATAATAATAATAATAATAATAATAATAATAATAATACAGACATTAAAGAAATTTTAATTAAGACTATTCCAAGAGTATAAATAATACATAATTGAAAAAGACTTAATTGAGATTAATAATTCATGCTTTACTCTGTCCATGTCACACAATACAAAATGTAGAAAACTAGCGCATAGCCCAGTGATCAGTCTATAAAACCACATGCATAATTTGCCTGAGTCTTTCTCAAGGGAAATTTTTAAACCCATTGTTTTACAAGTGAAATAGACTTATTAAATTCTAACTTTGCATTCAAGTAGTTAAACAAACATTAATTAAATCATTTTATATTAGTTCTTGAACAAGACGTTTTTTCAACAACAAACATTTCTCATTCTATGGGTGATGTGACTAGAAGTAAATACGTTTGTTTCAATGAATAAAACTTTTAAGAACAATTTTTTCCAGCATTTACTTAAATTGGTGTCAATAAAAATAAGCTTATGCATCATATCCCCAGTAACAATACAAAATTTGTCAAGCATGGTGGTGACCACACTTAAGCAAGTTTTTATTGTCAACAGCAGCGAAAGTGGCTGTGATTGGAACAACAGAATTTGGATATTCACAATTAAATGTGCCTTAACTAACAACAATTGCTGCTGTATTCTTGAATTTATGAGCACCACAAAACAACTACACTTCTGTTGAAACCCATTAGCAGGAATTGCTTTCATTAGTTTAGGATGCAGAATAGTTATCAAAACAAGGAAACTGCATACTCGGCTATTCTCAGTAACAGCACGTTTATGGAAGTCCAATAATATTGATAAAGTTTTCTTTGCGATCTTCATATTCTGAAGTTGCAACTTTTTAATACTGTATTGTGATTTTCAATATTTTTCACAATCTGCATTTGTGAAATGTGGTAGTCTTTTCCAGCAATGTCATCAGAGAAATTCAAAATTCATGTAGGAAATTTGCCATGAAACAGCACACAAAAAGCCTAAAATCACAAATCCCTACACACGAGACGAGTATGTAAGGTTTTTCCCCAGCATTCCCTAACAAGTATTTACTTTTTCACAGCATTTTTTTCTGAGTAAAGAACAAGGTTATTTTCACCAAATTACGTTAATTCCATTTTCTGATAATAAATGCCATTATTGGTTGCTTCAGACTAGAAGTAAATTCTTCGTTTTTAATCACACCACCTAATGTTAAAGTAGTTTCTAAGCAAGACATAAATAGAATGAACAAATATTTACCTCGAAAGCACACTTGAAAATCACACTGATCTTCACTAGTTGGTTTGGGAACAAGTTGGGATGTTATGATATCAGAGGGACTACGCCACCCAAGACGAAATAATCCCACAAAATCACCTTCTTTGCGTTTCATATCCAAAGTTAGAGAAAAAAAGCACTGTACATCTGCATCAGTTGGGTATGAATCTGCTATGTCATGGAATATCACCTGCAGAGCAAAAATATCAAATCATTTATATGGCAATAATTCCATAAGCATTAAACAACGCATCTTGTATAATCACATCTTAACGTTCTTCTTAAAGACAACTACTGTAACTTCACATAAAATACACAACTGTTTTTAAGAACATTTCAGTGAACCAACAATAGTCATCCTAATCTTCAAATAATAACAATATTAAACAAGTTACATGGGAAATTGAAAAATTTTCACATCTCTGAACTACTTTTCCTAATGTAAATAGTTAAAAATTGCAATTCTCTATTTTAAGAGTTAAAAGCCAGATTTGACTTTTATCTAAACCTCCACTTACTGAGGTGATTTAAGATAATTTATACACACAAAATAATACAGAAAAACTTGCTTAGTGCGGAATCTCATGGAACCAGAATTTTTTTAGACAAGATTCCACATTATGCAATGTAATAATGAGGAATTTACGTTTGGCAGGACAGCACATTAGACATATTTCTGCATTGAGCAAGTTTTACTATTCTAAGATAATAAGATATAGATCTTGAAAGATTTGGGAATTTAAAGCAATGAGTTTACAGCAATCAATTAATACTAGCGTTATTTCACAAAAGAAATTAATAAAGCTTATACTAGTCCTTGGATGTCTGAAAACCAACTATTGATTGACCCAAATGGTCTCCCAATATGCGTAATAGTGTATATTGGGAAGAGGATAGGACAACGAAGAGGAAGAAAAGTTCACACGTGGCCCTTGACCCATTCGTTACGGTACTGTTTCTGCATTTGCCTAGATGTAGAGAACCAACTAATAAAATGTGTTCAGAAACAAAATCGTTTCTATGCCATCTTTGATGCCTTGCATGCAGAACAACCAAATTGAATTGAATTTTGAATTGAATTTGCCTTATTTTACATGGCGAGACTTGGGCCATCAGGCCCGCTCTTCCGTCTGACCACGCAAATTACGCTACGCTCCTTTCACCAACTAGGAGAGAAAGGAGGTATTTCTTGGGCGAGAAACAGGTGATTTGAATTTAGCTCAGAGGTGTCATTTAGGCTTGAGGATCTTTTACATGCAAGTAAATCTACGAACATGGGACAGCCGGCGCTGGCTTTACTTCCCCTCCGAAGGAAGGCGTACGAAGGATTTTTTCGCCCTTAAAAATCCACGGCTTCGATCGGGTTTGAACCCGCCAACTTGGGTACAACAGTCCAGTATGCTAACCGTTACACCATCGCCGCCGCAAACAACCAAATGTTAAGAACCAAACAACAACCAAATGTTAAGAACAAGTCGTCAAAACTATTTTATGTCAAAAAAAAATTAATCTTCAGAACAATTTGATAAATGAAATATACGCTCATCACATTTTATTATCAAGAGTTATAAACTCCAACAAAAAATACCAAAATGCAATTTGTCCCAACTTTCAGCTCAAATCAATCCAAAAACAACAAAACCATCTATACCTTTGCATAGCGAGAAAAGGCATCTCTCAAGGTTGGTCGTTCACTTGCACTAGAGTGATCTCCATCCACATCCAGATTTTCAGCAATGCTATATTCTTGAAGAAGACTAGTCGTCACGTCTCCCAACAGAAATCCATTTGATTCTTCGTCTGCCATCTGGAATTCAAATGTAACTGATATAAAAGTTAATAAACCTGCAATAACATATTCACATAAACCAACAATACTTCATTCTTCACACTAACACCCTACACAAAACTTTACAAAAATATAACTTGTCCTTTTGAATATTAGCCGAGAATAAAAATTCATGTACTACAACAAGTATCAAATTTTTTTATTTCTTTGAGAGTTCAACGACATCAGGCAATTTAGAAATAATAAACCATAAAATTGAGGTTTTAACATTTATTGCTGTTTTTATTTCTTTAAAATTTCACTAAGGACATTGCTTCGTTCTTCACATTAAATCAAATGTTTATAGGATAATTAAATCATGGTTTAAACTGTCAAGCTTAGTTTATACTGCAAGTATAAACCCTACATTGTGAACCCTACTCAGTCATCCAATTGCTGAGAGAAGTCGGAACCATTTCTAATGGCCACTGATGATTACAAGAATGAACACAGTCAAATAGCTTGAACAATAATTTTATTTTCAAAATCAAATTGAAATGTTTGAAGAGTTTACCAGAGATGACAGATGATTACTTCTTCTACTTAATGTACAAAATAATTCCTCAATAAATGACATCTTGTCTATATTTTTAATATATCCATAATTGGTTAAAATTTAGTACACAGTACACCCTTAGAGAAGCGTGACGGCGGGCCTTAAGCCCTAATTACTGTATGTGCTCTAATAGAAATGAATAAAACTTACGGATAGGCGATTTTCATGGTTAGCCCTTCATATGCTTTGTCCCTGCATTGTAATGCCAATTTACTTTCAAAGGCAAGTTTTCTCGCTTCGCTCGCCCAGATCCAACTCAAGGCGAGGCTCGGGCCTTCGGCCCTCGCATTCACTATAAACATCCTTGAGTCTATCGAACGCATAATTACCAATTCACTTTTATAAGACATCACTTTTCAAGAAAGACTCCACATTCTAACTGCCTAGTTAACGCCAGAACGGCACGAAGTGCCAGTTTAAACGACTTCCTTAGGTTGTACCGAATACTACATTTCAGCCCCATAATATTTGTTTAAATATTAGTTTGAGCTGTGATTCACTTTTGTTATTAGTGAACTTCTTGAACAGTTTAGGTTTGTTCTACTACACAAAATATACCGGTAGAGCAATAATATAACAAAGCAGCCAATTGCAAATTTACTGCCATCTTCATGATATACTATGATTTATTTAGTTCTGCACATGACACACATCCGCTGTTGCGGTTTCATCCAACTGGGAGCCTGTATGTCGTTACAGTGACATCACTATGGGGTTGTTCAAGCTCCCGTTTAGATGAAATCATGAACAGCTAATTTACGTCATATGCATGGTTAAATAAATCTTGGTATAAAAGGTTAAGTATTTTAATAACAGTGATTATGATGAAGAAAGGAATGATTTCAACTCCTTTCGTAGATATAATTGAATCAAATGTTACAAGAGAAAAGGTGAAAGGAAGGAATTACAGTAATTCTTTAATTGAGAATAGAGAAAATTTTCATATAATTACAATCTTATATAGTCTGAAAATTCTTACTTTAATTAACATTGTGCAATAAATAACATCCTAATAAAATGTATTTTAAAATATAACAATGCACAACGAACTTGACATTTCTAAAACATAAATCTAATCTAAAACAATTTTTTTGTTCAGCATCTGCACTGAATTTATGATTGATATTTAGTAAAAAGATTGCCACTGTGAATTAAGTGACAAATTTTCAAACCCAAAAATTATATAATATTAAGAACAGTATGATATGGTATGGAAGGTATTGAGTCTATGGAGTGTGAAAGGCTCAAAGAATCAACTAATACTATACAAAACTCCATTCCCCACTGCAGTACTCGAGAGCACAGATAGCCTTTTACATAGGATTAACCTAGGATTTGTTATACGTAACACAATGTAATGATGCCTAATGTAAGAGATTTGGATGCTACCCAGATTAGCCTTCAATATTATCAAAGGTTACACTTCTGTAATGCAATACTAGTGCTTTACTAATAATGATTCTTTCTAATTGAAATCTCGAATGAAAACATTAAACTGAAAATGTTAAATTTCAAAAACACCAAGTTTTAACAATAAATTTAAAATAATATCCAATATTTCCTTCTTTGCTACAAATTATCCCATGAAAAGTATTTATCTTTATACAGATCATATAAATTCCTTTTCTTTTAGTTACAGTGATGAACGAAAAGCTTTAATTGGAACTCGCATAAAACTTTACATTTCAGATCTTGGGAGATGATTGGCAATTCCAAAATCTATTTACTTTATTAATTTATCACATAATCAAATTTGTAAACTGTATTTTACCCATAAAAATATAATATAAAGAAAAAAATAATTCTTTATAAATTACAATAACCATGTGATTACAGACACTATTGCAACTCACTCCTTAGGTACTCGACAATCAAAATGAGCAACAATTGTATAACAAAGAGATGGTTGCTTTAAAAAACAAAAAAAGGAGACCATAAATAGTATTATATCTCTTCACCTAACCCAAAATGAAGTAGACAGAAAATGAACAAAACAACTATATTGACAATTAATAAAAACGTTACTTAGAAGGTGACAAGCAGAAGTGACTAATTGTATTACATATTTTTAATAAATTAACACACTAAAGCAATATTTTCTCTTGAATCGCAAATTACAACAAATATAAAAATTAACAATTAAAAGAAGTTAATATAACGAAGAGGTTCACACGATCTTATTTCAATTTGGTAAATGGCAAATTAGTAGGCGGTGTCGACAATAGCATAAAAATCATTAAAAAACTATTTTGCCCATTGATTCATATTTCAAATACTTTGGAAATCCACAAGTGATAACGAAAATCACATTGTTGTTGTCCTTTAATGGTTCGAAGTATGACAGCATACCGATAACAAAAATGTCGAGGGGCATACAGACAAAAATACTTACCAATACACAGTCGTTGACGTATAGTTAGTAAAGTGTCAACAATTAGAAAATCTTTAAGATTGTAAAAAGAGTGTCAGAAAACTGCCACAATTTACATCGGAAAATAATAACACTTACAAATCCACAAATGTTGTTCCAATGAGGATGAGTCAATACCTACCGCTAATGTACGTTTGCAATATCGCTCCCTATTCTTTCCTGAGATGACACTCCAACTGCGTATTATATATCGAACGTTACGAGCGAAGAAAATTCACTACAATCTACGCGAACTCCTACAAAGTATCAACGTGATTTTTTAAGATCAAGTATTACACCATAGCTTCTACCGTCACGTCAGCTCACATTGCAAAGAAGTTATTCTCCTATATATTTATAGTGACTTCTGACGTTTGTGTTCGGAAGAGGTTATCGGATCGACAGCTTCAATAACAAAAATTAAGTCGTATCGAAGTTTCCGATTGGATAACAGCGTCCAGCTGAATAAACGTCAGAAGTCGATATAATTACTAAGGAGTCTATGCGAAGGCATGCCTGCTGAAAGTTCATTCGTGTATATGTCAAACTTATAATTTCTTAGATATGCATACAAATATTAGAGCTGATATAAACAAGTTCTCAAAATCAGTAATGTTAGCATAATTTCGGTACATATTAAAAAATTATTACAAATTTAATGTATTAACGTACTGAAGTACTCGATTTCTGAAGCTTTATGATGCTCTAATCAGCTGCTAACAGATGCTCTCCTAACCAAACATGGGATAATACAATACTCCTACGAGAATGTAAACATCAATGGAAATTTAGGTTTTCCATGCTTATTCAGAAATATGCGGTCGTTTCAAACCATGATTTAACGATGCCTAAAAGGGATAAATCTTTAGGAAAACAGTACAAACATGTATAACAGGAAATAGAACAAGAATAAAGACGCATCTCCACTCCACGACTGGGGCGACTAATGGGTTGCGAATTAGTACGAGCGACTAGTGTGTCCGAACAATCGCATACCTTTTGTCCCATTGCAATACTTCTTAAACAAGGGCGATCTATTGCATGAGGTATTTCCAAGCAACATGATTTGAATAGTCAAAGATAACTTTTATGTCGATAACAAAGATCCAATTGTTCTCACGAAAATATAAATTTGTTTAAATATATTTGCAGCAAGCAAAACAGAGATGTTTGAAATCAGATGAAAGGGTCGATGTTCTTTCGTTAGTTAATAGGCGCGACTCTACCATATTATGAAGATAGAAATATATATAGACTATGAACTTAGAAACACTCTGCCCCCAGCAACTCACAACCACCGTTCTTCTACTTGCAGCTATTGCCTAGCATGCACTAACTACAGACGGCGAGACGAGTGTTCGCAAATAGGGTCCATTAAAAGAATATTGCCCATTCGCTTACGTAGGCGCATGAAATTAAATTATTCTTCAAAACATACGCTAGTAGTATGCACAAATAAACGAGTCGATTTAGTGTACGATTAATACGTTCAACGTCTTTTTCTGTGGCTGACGTTTTGGGGAGGGCGCCGTCATAGCCCTTAAGGGGCAGCCGCCATTGGTCTCCACTACATTAACACTAAAATGATCTGTATACATGTTCGGGTCTTTATTACTTAATGTGTTAATTTTAAACATACTTAACTTCACGTTTTTAATATGTTGGACCTTTTCTAGCAGGAAAACAAGTCAATCGTTCGTTCGGGTTTTGCAGACTAAACTTTGGGCAAGATCGTGATTTTACTTTGTAAGGGCTATATTTCCAATTACGATTTTCGGTGTACTAGATTTAATTAAAATGAAATAGTCAATGGAAGAAACGATAAAGCTTCTGGAAGCTATAAAGATGCGTCCAAATGGCAATTCTCCCGCATCGTAACGAATACGAGATATTAGTGTACCTCCGGCGAGAACATGGTGAACGACAACACGGACCTGGAAGCTGAATGGCATATTTGTACCCGTAAGATACATATTGGGACATTTTGGGCCACGCGCTACGCATGGGTTACACTTCCGTAAACGTACCCCACTTACCAACGGTGTAGGAGCTCACCGATTTTTCAATCAAAGTTTAATTCTGGTTTAATAGTTACTGACAGAAGAAATAGGTTTAAGGAAGCCAACATTGAAATATGCTCTCAGTTAATTTTCCACTGATTGTGTTACATATTGATAATTGGTATATAAATTTGATATATAGATTTAATTTAACAAATTCATGTCCTTTTAAAATAACGTGTTGTTTTTGTTACGTTTCGTGAATGAAAGTTTGTTTCTTCTAAACAAGCCTTTATTTTAATCGCTTCACTACATTCGGAAAATCCACACCAAACATCTTTCTGAAACAATAAACCTCTGATGATTTCGTGGCACGACTCGTCCCTCATCATGCCCGGCCGTCACCTCCATGCCGCCAGCGAGCAGAGGCCCTCTGCTGCTGACCTCCTTCCCCTCCCTCGACCGGTCGTCACCGACGGCCGCCGTTGCAAGGGCCGCGGCTTCAGATGGGCCGACTCCGTTGAGGGCGATGGACTCTCCCGCATCCCCGTAGTTGTCGCCTCTGAGCCCCTTCCGGTTCGGTGCGTGGGATTAGAAAAGGCCTCATTCACAATGCAAACTTAAACGTAAACATAACAAAGCCGCAAAACCTAGAAATGAATAAAGCGAGACTATTCGCAATACCTTGACGTAAGCGTAGATGTTAATCCGTAAACCTAGAGTTCACAAGCACCAAGCTTTTATGTCGGAATTCTACCGAAGGCCAATCAGAGAGCAGTATGAAAGATACAAACATGATGGATTTCAGATTGTGTTCAGGAAGTTTGTGGTTATATCATTTCATTACTGTTATGTACTGATGTGATTATTTTATAGACAGGGTCATTGGGGTGGTATGAATAAAAATGAGCAATTACTCTTTGCTCCGAGTTTCGGAGATCCTTCTCAATTTCGTATGATTAAAGTGTGTGAGCGATTGCTCAGTCTCTCAGCACTTGCTCCGTCTCTGAGCGTTCTCTGGCGAGCAAATTCTCAGAATTGGTATGTATAAAGTGTAGCGTTTACTCAATAGATTGAGCACTTGCTTCAATGCTCACATGCAGATGCAGCGAAGTAAAAAAAATCGAGATTCGGCGAGATTCTTGTGACATGAATTATAAGAATCTTTACCGATTCGAAAAGGACAATGTATGGTTAGCACAACATTTTCTCGGATTTCGAGAAGAAAGAAGAGGCGGAGCTCTAACCAATGAGCAAAAAATGAAAATTTTTCTTAACTATGTGGCCGATTCTGGTTTTCAGGTAGGAGTGGCAGAAGATGTTGGCGTGGATCAGTCCACAGTGAGCAGGACTTTTAGTTTCATCATGGATAAAATAAAATAAAAAAACAGTATTGGATACAGTTCCCAAGAACTGCAATAGATATCCAGCATTCAAGAGATCTGCGGCAGGAAAGATACACTTTCCCTAATGCAATTGGTGCTCTTGACTGTACACATATTCTCATTAAGAAGCCACTTATACTAATGAATACATCAATAGGAAAGGCGTTCATTTTATAAATATTCAAGCAACATGCAATGCTAAAGAAGAATTTACTAGCACATGGACGCTTCTTGGCCTGGATCAGTGCACGATTCTCGCATTTGGAAGAATTCCCATCCACACAGGTTTTTATCAGGCCAAAGCGACATTTTGCTACTTGGCGATTAATGCTATGGCATTGCTCCATGGCTCATGGTGTGATATAAAAACCCTGTAATGCCAGAGCATTTCTCTTTCAATGGATGTTTGAAAAAGGAGCGTGTTACCATTGAACGATGTTTCGGGCAACTTAAACAACGCTCTCCAATTTTACAAAGCAAAGTGAGACTAGCTACAGTAAAGATACCATCTGTTGTTTTGTGCTGTTTTATTTTGCACAATGTAGCAAAATACTTACATGATGAGGATTTTGCAACAGACATCATTGAACCTGAGGAAGAATTACAACCCCCAGAAGAAGGAAGATCTGCTGACAGATTGAGAGGACAACGTAGGAGGGATGAACTGTCAAGAATAATACACTGATTTTAATTTGCAAGTATAATTTTCTTTATTCGTTTTTAAAAACAACACATTCACTTTCACTCATCCTTTTTTCCCACAGATACTTTTCCTTTTTTAATCGTAGTACTTGCAATTCCTACAATAAAACCAGTCTTGTCAATTCAACATTAGACATACATTTCGTTTCTTCTGTTTCTAAATTCACTAATCTTTTTTAACAGGGCGAGATAGCACCCTTACAGGAGACCCGCTGCTGCTCTCCGCCCGTATTTCTGCATCTGAAACACATCCTGCTGCTGCTTCATTGTTGGTTCCAGCTGAAGGTACTGCTCCTGAAATTGATATAAAATATAATGTAAATAATTGTGAATATATTCAGTTAATATAATGAAATAAAATGAACACATGTTCTCTTACACAAATTATGATGTAAATGCTTGTGAATATACTCAGTAATCATTTCATCAGGTTAACTGAATATGTTCACAATCATTTACATGATAATTTATGTATGAATACGTGTAAATGATTAAAATGAACATAGATTTTCTTACATAAATTGTAATGTACATGATTGTGAGTATATTCAGTTAACATAATGAAATAAAAAGAATAGAATAGTTTTCTTACCTTTTATTTGGCACACTGTTGGATTACTGTCCCCGTTCATCAATTCATAAACTGTTTTTCCCAGGTCTTTATTTAATTTTTTTGTTGCCAGTACGATTTTTATCTGTTTTTGCTTTTAATCGTGATTTTATGTTACATATTTTTTGGTCAATTGTTCATTACTTATAAGAACTCCGATTTTTTCGGAGTATTGAGTTTTTAAGTTTTGAAGAGCTTCTTTCCGGCGTCCGGAAAATAGAAGAAAATACTAGACACCACGGTGAAAATATCGTTGCAGCATGCTACTGTAATGTGACGGTCGCACATCGCGGATGACGACACGAGCCATATATTTATTTTACTTAATTAAGAGCCGCGCCGCCGTAAGGAGCAGCCGGAAATACCGTTTCCCCTGTACCTGTGTAAAAGCCGCTTAGCGCGCCGGGGGAGAGGACGAAGATGCGCCTCCTTTGTTCAGCCGAGAAAGGCGGACGCACCCCTTATGACGTGTGGGGTCCGCCCACAACTCCTTCACCGAGCAACGGAATTACCCGCGCCTATTTCCGGGAATTTCGGTGACGAATGTTACTGCGGGGGAGGTTGCTGGAGGCGACTTTGCCGCTGGCGTCGAGATAGGCGGAAAGCTTACAGGTGGCGCGTCATCCAATAGACAATGCGGGGGAGGAATCACGTGGTACGCGAGCCTTCCTGTACGACCGCGGAGGGACAGCAATCAGTTGAATCGGAGGTAGCGAGGACGAGACTTGTATCAGAGGTCGCGAGGAGGAGACTTCAGAGGCAGCGGGGAAGAGACTTGTTTCTGAGGCAGTAGCGAGGCCACTTAATTGGTGCCTGGCCACCTGAATGCCACGCCGCCTCGCCACATTGGAGCCCGACTCGTGAGACGACAGCCGGCCGATGGGACGGGACACTACTACTGAGTGCCTGGCCG